ACTCCTGTTGGCCTGGGACTGAGCTCAGGGCTCCCTGGCAGGAAGCCCTGCTCCCACAAGGCCTGCCCTGTCCTGCCCTGTCTAAGCATGGCAGCTCCACCCGAGCCTGGGTTCTGATATCCTGGGTACAGCACGCATGATTGTCATCAGCGGATCACGACAAGGCCAGACACAGTCAGTGAGACACGGAACATGCCTTTCCAAATGGAGCTGCAGTTTCATACTCCAGCCACACCCGAGACTGTCTTGTGTGTCTTGTGCATGCTCCATGTCTGTTCATCCATTTCCATGGGGGAAGAGAGTGATAGAACTCAACTCTCGTGACTCGGAAGGTTGGCTTGCACTGGGGTGGGTGTAAAGGCTTGATGCGTTTAAAGGATTTGTGACTCCACCAAAACTGCCGCTCGCCACAGCACCTTCATCCTTCTGAGGAGCGTGCAGGACCATTTGAAAAATACTGATGAACAGCTGTTGGGAGCCTCTGGCCTCGTCGGCATTTTAGATACTTCATTTTCAAGCCTGGGAAATCCGCAGTGCTGGGCAAGCCCCAGGAGCCTCCAGAGAGGAAACACTGACCTGGCCAGGAGGCTGTGGTGCCCACGTGGTAGCATGGTTGCCGGGAAACTTTCCAGTGGGCTGCGAGGTCCTGAGAGGCAGCGGGGAGAGAACTTGGTGCCCGGGGAGTGAGGAGGAATTTATTTCATGCTCAGTGGAGTTCGGTGTCCTGAAGTCTCACTGATGCTTACATCCATGCAGAGAGCGGTGACTGTTGTGTGTCTTGAACTGAGAAAAAGGTACAAATGCGTTTTGCAGCCCTATGACTAAACAAAACACCATCCAAGCACGCACACTGGAACTCAGGATTGCGGGGGGCCGCTCGGGCACAGGCGGGCGGCAGCCCTGCCTTTCCCATGCCTCCGTTTTTAGGCGTGAAACCAAACTTTTCTTCTTGGTGGGTTCCTGAACCTCATGCCCATTTCTGACTTGCGTTTCTGACCCTGCCTCCCGCCTGCTGCCCCGCGGTTGGTCTGTGTTGAAATATTTCTGCGGTCTTTGAAATGATTCAGCAACCTGGGGGACTTTTCAAAAAAAAAAAAAAATCCTCTATGACATGCTCTCTCCAGTCTGTTTCCAGCTCGCTTTCATCTCTGACACGTGGGGGCCGAGCAGCAAGGAGTAAGAGTTACCCTGCAGAGCAGGAGTTAGTGCAGTGCGTGAGAGGAACCCTTTGTAGTGACACCCCCCAGTACTGGCTTCTCTGGGATCTAGTTTTAGTGAAAGACAGCCTGGATATTTTTATGAAATTCATCATTTAGAGGGTTTTCTGTATAGCCAGTGCTAACAAAGTCATCTTTTCCTTCTCCTTTTTTTGCTGTGCTGGGGGTCGAGCTCAGGGCCTGGCATGTGCTAGGCAAGAGGAGCTCTGCCGCTGAGCGCACCCCAGGCTGGAGGGTTTCAAAACCTACCCAGCACAAAGAGCCACCCAAGCGGATGTTACGAGCGCGGGTGACGCTCAGTTCATGTCCTGAAGTGTGAGCTGCTGTCCCGTGGTGACGCGGGACACAGACCCCAGCGTAAGAGATGGGGCGGCCCCGCGACTGCCTGGCCTCCTGCACCCCACCCCAGTGACCACAGGGTGCTCTGTGTAGGAAATGGAGAGTTCGCTGGGTGTCTGGCAGCCCTCGAGGTGATTAAACTGGGAGGCATCTGTTCCCTAGTCAGGTGTTTGTTGTTGTGGAGAAAGGCATTGCTAGTTCGGTTCCTGTAACCTTGGTTTTTTTCCCTCCCTGGACCCATCCACCTATAGGGAACAGATAGGGTTGATGATATCACAGGTCTTCACATGCATGTGGAATACGGAGCACAAGAGGTGATCTTTGCTGCCTGGGTAAAGCACCACGGTTTGGAAGTGTGTTCCGCTTTTGATGAGCTCAGAAGAAGAATTTGAACCAGAGTCCTGGAGCACTGTGTCATCCTGGGTGGCGAATGTTATTTATCTTACTACCAGACAATAAATATCACCTGCTGTCCCTTAGCACCCACATCATTACATGAAGTCCATTGTCAGCTAGGCGTGGTGCAACGCCGGCTACATGGGGGAGGGCCGGGGCAGGAGGCTCGCTTGAACCCAGTTCAGAACCAGCCTGGGTAACAGTGAGACCACAACTCAAAAAACAAACACAACTGGGTATTTACAGAAATAATAGTTTGGGGGAAATGGCACAATTAAGCATGATTTTTTATTAAGTTTATTGGTACATTTTAGATATGCAGTAGTTACATTCATCATTGGGATCTTCTACATTCCCCTACCCTCCCTTGCTTGTTTACAAAGACATTGTTTCCATGATTTTCCTTTTCACATAATTTTTCTTCTTTTCCCTTTTTACCTTTCCCCTACCTCCCCACTTCCTCTACTCTTTTAGACCTATTCTTCCTATTACACAATATCGCTTGTACGTTTTGATCCTTATTTACACTTTTAGTTTTTCACAGCAGAGAAACTATTCGGTATTTACACGTGTGACTTAATAATTTCACTTATAGTATGACCTCAGTGTGCATCCACTTAGCTATAAATATCTCTAGTTTCTTGTTCTTTATGACTGAGTAGTACTTCATTTTATAAAAAAAATACATCTTCTCTATCCAGTCTCCAGTTAGGGGCAATTGGGCTGTTTCCAAGTTTTAGCTATTACAAACTGTGCTGCTATAAATATGGGTGAGCATATATTAAAAGAATTCTTTTAATTCTTTGGGAAGATACCCAGCAGAGGAATAGCTGGGTCAAATGGGACCTCTAATCCTATTTCTTTGAGGAGTCTCCATTGATTTCCACAGTGGTTGCACCAGTCTACACTCCCACCAACAATGGAGAAGGGTTCCTCTCTCCCCACAACCCCGCCTGCATTTGTTATTGGTTGATTTCTTGATAGCAGCCATTCTCTGTGGGGTGAGGTGGAATCTCAGTGTTGTCTTCATCTGCATCTCTTGAATGACCCGTGATGTGGAACATTTTTTCATATGCTTATTTGCTGCTTTTACTTCTTTGAGCATGATTCATTTGGTTTCTTATAAAGTGTTTTTTTTTTTCACTCTTTTTTAATTTTAAAAGAAGTCCCTTTAAAGGAATATGATTAAAATAATGAACTTTAACTTAAAAATGAAAATAGCCAGACACGGTGTAGCATACTTCTAATCCCAGCACTCAGGAGGTGGAGGCAGGAGGAGTGTGAGCTGGAGGCCAGGGTGGGCTACCTTGTGAGTTCAAGGCCAGCCTGAACTACATAGTGAGAACTCTGTCTCAAAAAAAAAAAAAAACAAAAGAGAGAAAGAAAAAGAAAATAAACATATTAAAAATATTATCTGATATAAATCTGTGTTATGTTCCAAAATTAAGAATAATGCTCTAGAATATTAATTATTTTCTATTCAGGGGGTGAAGTCATGCCCATTGACTTGAATAGGATCATTTTGTTGTAATGGAGCTACTGTTGGGTAATTCTGTTTTATGTGAAAATTTTTTAGAGACAACCTAATAAAAATTTAAAAACAGGTGCATGGTAAGTTTGTTTTTAACACAGAAACTGTTGTAAAAATAAGTATTTTTAAAAATAATTTAAATGATTAAAATATTTAAGAGAAAATATTGTTGAGCATATTAATTACTACGTAAAAGTATAAAAATTAAAAGTATCAGTAAGGCCTTCTATAGAACTAAAATTGTACTGTGCTATTTTTCAAATTTCACTGGAAAACAAACATTTCGGAGATAGTATTGACCATATGTCCTTTATAAAGACAATATTACGTTCTGCGACCTTTGAAGGTCAAATCCTAGTAAATGAGAGAAACTCCACAGTGCTGATCCCCTCTCCACACTCTCTGTGGTGTCCATTCTGTAGACGCTTCCTCCACATCAAGTACACATTCGTTTCTAGATCTTTCTGGAATGTTCTCTCCTTTTCCCAAGGTAGAGGTAAAGCAGTGCTGAAGAACCTGATGGAGATACTTTTCTCACAGTCATGCAAAAATTATTTTTGAGCAGTTTGGACCTGGTACTGATCCCAGCTGCTTAAAGATAAAATCAGTGGAGACAAAGGGACTCTACAAATGCAGAGATTAAGAAAGAGTTGAAGAGAATTTTGAAAATTGGGTCTTTGTGTTCTAAAGTTTTATTCACCAAAGAGAACAGGCAGTAATGAAAGCAAAGAGAGAGAAAAACATTCTAGATAATTACAGGAAGGACGGTGGGGGTGGGACATAGGGGACCCAGGGGTGGGCTCCCCTCGCTGGAGGGAAGTGTGTGCATTTGCATCTTGACTTTAAGCCTCTTCTCAGCATTTCATTATGAAAATCTTCATCCTATGCATAGAAAGCATGGTACAGTGAGGTCTATCCCATACTTTGATTCTGCGGTCATCCTTTTTCTCTGTTGTCTTCATCATCCGTCTATCCGTGTATCCATCTCTCTATCCATCCATCAGGCTTGCTTATTTATTTATTTATGGTACCAGGGATTGAACTCAGGTCTTTGTGCTTGGAAGCAGGCGCCAGAACCACTGAGCTAAATCCCCAGCCCCATCAGGCTTATTTTTGAGGCTTTCTAAAATGAGTAGAGACACAAATACTAAATTTCTAATCATGTCAGTGTGTACATTGATACTTGTGTATGATCCTTTTTATTAGTTGAGATAAAGTCTTCATGTCCAAATCTTAGATGTTGGATTCTTTTTCACAACTCATTAGGCTGTTACTAAGATAAGGAACACACATCTCCCAGAAAATTCGCTTGTGCCTCTTTTTGGTGGGGCTCAGTCCCGAGCCCTCACACTGGTGCACTCTTCACAGAGATGAGTTCTGCTTGTCCCAGAACTCATGTTTGCAAACCTTCTGTGTCCCCTGCCTGCTCTGGGTCAGGGCCCTGCATTCGGTGCTGGAGTCTGCAGACTGTACTGGGTCCGTTGATTCCCCTGATCTGGTGAATTTTTGACTTGCAGGCTTGTTCCCCGCCATTCTCAATCTGGCCACCAATGCTGAGATTAGCGCCAATGCCACTTGTGGTGAGAAGGGACCTGAGATGTCCTGCAAACTCGTGGAGCACGTGCCCGGCAGGCGTGTACGTAACGCTCAGTGCCGGCTCTGTGATGCCAACAGTGCAAACCCTAAAGGTAAGTGTGGCTCCTTCTGTTCCGGGACAGTTTGTTCTGTTAATTTATGTTTATGTTATGCTATGCCGTGCTATTTTATGTTAGGCTGTGCTGTGCTGTGCTCGGTTACTTCAGTTCATTCCATTGTTTTACCTTAGTGTTTCTCCATGCACCCTAGCCTTGCACCTGTTCACGGAGCTGGTGCCTGCCCAGGCAGTGTGACTTTCTGCAGCTAACTGAGGCTTTCATTAGAGGTGTGAGCGTGGTGTTCACCTTGAGTGCTATTCATTTCCATTATGAATTTAGAAGTTCAAGGATTGAAAGCAAGTGCCAAGAAAAATGCCTGGTTTTATGTTCTTGTTAACAGAACGCCACCCGATATCAAATGCGATCGATGGCACCAATAACTGGTGGCAGAGCCCCAGCATTCAGAACGGGAGAGTGTACCACTGGGTCACCATCACGCTGGACTTACGACAGGTAGGTTGGCTTGCTGGACAGGGCTGGGCTGCCGGCCGGGCTCACGGTGGCTCCTGGGGCACTGCCCTGCTCCTCAGCACGTGCACATGCTGACCTCTCTGCTCTCCACTGGGGAGGTCCCGTGATGGGCAGGCCCAGCGTGTGACACCTTTCTTGTCACCTATTATCATGGCCGGAGTTGCTCCCCTGTGGTTGGGGTTCTTTGTACCTCTGTAGCAGGACAGAGTCACTGTTCAGGGTACCAAGCCAGGTTGTGTGCTGGGTTTCCCGGGGAGGGTACAGGGTCAGAAGCACGCACTCCGCCCATTCAGGCTGACCATCTCACTGTCTCCCTCGTGTGGAGTTACTGTATGAGGCCTCAGAATGGAAGGGGTGTTGTCAGACCTCTCGGCAATGCCTCAGCCACATCAGATGCATCTGAGGGCCGGGGCCAGTGGCAGCTGCTTGGCAGCAATGTGGGCAGCCTTCAGCATGCAGTGGGAGATGCTAATTTGGATCTGGCCTCACCTGTGTCTTACCTGGCTTTAATGCCACAGGAGAGAATCAAAAGTAAGACATGGGACCATGCTTAGCCTAGTATTTTTAGAAAAGACGAAAAGAAAGAAGTCTGAACAGAGAAGATGGAAAAGAGAGACAGGAGGTATTCTGCAGCTACTGTCGCAGTTCTTGGTCTGAGTTCCTTGTAAAAGCCATTGCATTCCTATTTCCTTTAGAATTCCTTTGTGTAGGAAACTCTAGATTTCATTTAAAATATTGAGATTAATTGAAAGAGGTAAACAGTTGATGTGAACATTATAGGACTGAAATAGAAATTTTAGACATTTAGTGATAATCAAAATTCCTTGTATAAGTTATGGTTTTAAAAATGTATAGGATTTTAGGTAGAAAACAAAAGGATGCTGTACTTATATTTAGGTATGAGAAACTTTTGATCTCTAGTAATAATAGTGAATAAAGTAGCAAAATGGGAAGCTCATATATGCTATCGTAAGGATAAGTGTCCCCCAATGCATGAGTGTCATGGTGGCATTATTGGGAAGTGATGGGGCTTTTAGGAGGTATGGCTTTATGGTAGGGATTTGGTCACTGGGGGTATACCTTTTAGGGGATGTTCGGGCTTTGACCCCTTCCTCTTTCACCTCCGGGGTACCCTGAGGTGAGCAGCTTCCTCTTCCTCTTCCACTCCTGCCATGATGTGAGGCCTCACCACAGGCCCAACAACAAGTGGGCAAATTGACCATGGACTTAACCCTCTCAAACTGTGAGCCAAAAAAGCCTTTCCTTCTTACCTTAGGTATTTTTATCTCAGTGATAGAAATCTCTGCAAGACAATGAGTTTGGTGAAATTAAGAACTGGTTATTTTATACAGACCCTTCCAGTACTGTCTTGTCCTGATGTAGGTCAAGCTGGACTTTCTCCAAGGGAGCCATGTGAGGGATTCCAGAAAGCAGTTTTAGACCTTTGATGCATACTTAAAAAACAAGTGTTTTGCCTAGTTATAGTACCTTCTAAGTAATGCCTGGTGTTTTGAAGTTAACTTTTAGAAGGTGATAATCAAAACATTTGCCACTCAGAGGTTTCTTTACCTTTTGCACAGTACAAAAATCATTCTGTGCTCTCTTTTGAATAAAAATTATATTGAGTTTATACTTTGGCAAGTTCTTTTGAAGTTCATTTATTTACTTATTGAGCCTTTCATTTAGGAATGTTTTCTCATTGTGTAGAAAGCACATGACAGTAAACATGCACAGACCCCCCCCTGAGATCCAGGGATCTTTAAGCTTTGTACCTCATTTATTTCAAATGAATCACAGTCATCAGGACATTTTACTGGCATTTCAGTTTATGTATTTAAAAGATACAGATACTTGTTCTGAATAGACACCATGCCGTGAGCCCCCCTAACAAAATTAGCAGTCATTTCCGAGTAACTGTTTCACTGTCAGTTTTGCCAGTTTTTCCATTAACATCTTCTGTAGGCTTTTTCCTTTCTGACCAGGAATCCATAAGGACCACTTACTACATTTGACTGTTATCATTCTTAGTTGTCTTCTAATCTGAATTGCCCTCCCTCTTTTGTAAACCACATTGAATGTGTGAATAGACAAGGCTGTTTGTATTACAGAACACCCCACAGTCCGATGTGCTCACAGTGGTTTATGTAAGATGCTCCTTCCTGCCCTCTGTTTCCTGTCAGCTAAATTCAACTTTGGCTGCCTGGCAAGAGCACCCCTGGGAGATCCTGGATGCTTGGCACTGCCTGCCCTCGGCGGGTGCCCAGGTCACCCCATGAGCAGCAGTGCGACTCCGAGCCCTGTCTGCCTGCTGACAGCCAGATCTTTTCCTGCCAGTCACCTCTTTCTCACTTGCACGTCCCTCCCTCGTTTCTTAGGTCTCACTAATGCTCAGATCTAGAGCATGGCTACCTTCCCATGAGTCTCTCCTGGTCCTAAAATCTGTGTTTCCTGACAGAGCCAGCTGGCACCCAGGACCAGTTTATTTCTAGATTAGAGGAGGCATGATTGAAAAATATGGTGAATGTTTAAAAATTTTTTTAAAAGTTTGTTATGGTAAAAGACACATTGCCTTAAATTCCCCTCAGAATCCTCCCCCTACTTTGAACACACTCGTCCCATCGTCCTTTCTACTCCATGAGCAGTTCTGGAGTGCTCTTACGTGAGGGTCTAGTTGTGCTATTGTGGTCCTGACTGTGTCTGGAATTGATTCACAGCATTTGCCTTTCCTGGTCATGTTGACTTCGGGGAGGAGCCTTAAGTTGCACAGTGCTGGATCCAGTGACTAAAGTGGAGGACAGGCACATGGTCACGTTTTCATGAGGCTGCTTTTCTGTGCTGAAGTATTCACCGTGTTTTTTAGCAAGCCTCACAGACGATGACAAAAGAGCACTTCCAGAGCTGCTCCCGAAAGAGAGAGAACAATGGGATGAGTTTGTTCCAAGCAGAGGAGGACTTGGAGTGGGTAGGTGGCAATGCCACTTTTACTGTAGTTTTTTGTCTGTTTTCTTTGTTACTGGGCATTAAACTTGGGGCCTTGCACTTGTGAGGCAGGCGGTGAAACCTCTGAGCTAAATCCTGTCATTTACTGTAATTTTTTTTTAAGTAAAACATTCATAGTGCATTTCAGTCACATCGTCTAGGCTTCATGAGGGCGGGGACACAGCTGTCTTCCTCCTTTTCTTTCTTTCCCCCTTTCTTCCCCGTTAATGGTGTTGAGGGTTGTCTTCCTTCACCAGCACCCACACATGGACGCCATCCAGGCTTGGGCAAATCATGGCCATGTGGAGCGGTGTGGACTGGCTGGACTGGCTTTTTTTCTTATTTTCCTCTCCTGACGAGAAGATGAGAGTGAGCCAGCAGGTTCGTGGAGGCCTTGGATCAGCCCTGTAAAAATGCAGCATCTAAAACCAGATTTCCACAGTAAAATTATAGGTAGACCTCACATTGTCGGGAGCCGCAGTCAAACTTGCTATGAATGAGTTGGTGTAATTCCGTACATATCTCTGCTCCTGAGGTTTGCAACCAGCTTGGCTTGGTTCTGGGTTTCAGTGCTAAAGACATGGATCTCATTCTTCTTTCTCTAGTTGATGATGGATACTGAAATCAGCATTTTTAGCCTCTGTGTTTGGTTTCCTGGAAGATAAATTAAAGGTACAAAGTTGTGCTGTCAGTAAGTTTATAAATGTTGTATGGTTTGCAATACAGTTTAACTGCAGTGTTTGTCTTAGTAACATATTACAAGGAGAATGATTAGATTTATTTCTCTACTTCTTATAAATAAGCCTGCTATTCATCTCTTTCATTGATTTATACTTTAGAAGTTACACTTATTTTTTTAAAAAAATCATGGGAATCGAATGTGTGTGGTATTTTTGTTCACATAAAAATAAAGCTGAATCAACTTTAGCAACTTTTTCCAAAGGTAAAACTGACGCTGGGGCTGTGATTTGTATGTCTTGCCTCTGGGTGGCTGTGAACCACTGGTGGTACCTGTGTGACGTCCCATTGGCTGGCAGTGCCCACACCTGGGTGACTCAAGCCAGCAGGGGCGTGTCAGTGCTGTGGCCTGCATTAAAACAGTGCTGATCACGGTGCAGTGATTTAGGGCTCATCGTTAGCACTGCCACTGAACTGAGTCCGTGGCCTTTGCTGCTGACTTAAAACTGTAATCATTCTGAGAGAGAACATGTGTTTCATGGATCTTGAATTTCACAATTTTCAAAAATCCTTTTAGGCTCCTCTAATGCATTCCGTGTGGTGGTATGTCTCAGTAAAAGTGTTTGCGGTTGAAGCCTGGGAGCTCAGTGGTAGAGCACTTGCCTAGCACGGGCAATGCCCTGGGTTCCAACCCCAGCACCAAATCCAATCCAATCCAATCCAATCCTCATTCCAGTTTGAGTAACACCATATTAAAATTTAATGTGTTAGCTAGAAGAGACAGTGTTCAACATCATTAGTCATACGGGAAATGAAAACGAAAAGCACAATAAACTGTAACTTCATATCCATTTGAACGATTGTAATAAAGGAAATGGAAACTAACAAGTGTTGGCAAGAGCGTGGAGAAGTCGACAGCCCTCTGTGCTGTTATTGTGCAGAGTGGAGCAGCTCCTGGGGAAATAGCGTGGACTTTCTCCACAACTGAGCAGAGTGGTCTCGTGGCCCAGCAGTTCTAGCCGTAGGGAAGCGAAAGCCAGGACTCACACAGATGCTCGTCCACCAATGTTCAGAGCAGCCAGAAGGAAGCCACAGCCCAAATGTCCATCGGCAGTGACTGGTTAACTCGGCGTGGTCTAGATACCCGGTCCAGTAGTGTCCAGCCCCAAAAGGAGTGCAGTTCTGACACATACTCTGGCAAGGATAAACCTTGAAAACATTATGTGACGTGAAGTAAGCCAGACACTAAAGAAGAAACACTGTAATTCTACTCTGCGACGCATCTCAATCAGCCCAGTTGGCAGGAACGAGGGGAATGGTGGTCA